CCCGGGCAGAGCCCAGCCAGCCTCTTGCACGCCACCCCCCTCTTGGGGACAGCATGGTCCCTCACAGGGGTCCAGGGCTGGGACACTTCCCGGAGCCCAGGGGCTGGGCTCTGAACCAGCTCCTCTCCACCCCAGCTCAGCAGAGCCCCGGGCCAGCTCTCACCATGGCCACGATCCTGCGGATGGCAGCAGCAGCCATGTCTTCTCCTTTGGGTTTTTCTACCAGCGTCATCCCTAGATACTTGAGCGTGAAACACATCCCCTCAAGCAGCGGCTCCTGCATGTCCGCCCAGCTCTCGGGAAGCTCTGCAAAGACAAAATGCCTCAGAAGCCACGTGCCAGGAGCCCCACGGCTAGTGCCCGCAGAGCCACCCCCCCTTCTTGCAGCTTCACTGCTCCCAGGCGCAGTGCTGCTGCCTGCGCTCAGCAGGGCACTCTCCCAGCTCTGTGACACTCTCGGAAGAGGAACAGAGTGAGCGGACAGCTCAAAGCTTTATTTTGCCATCCCCGGAGGCACAGGGTCTGTCAGCACAGGTAGGAAGCTCCCACATATCTGCACAGGGCCTCAGATGCCGCAGTGTTCACTGCTATCTGCAAAAACCTCGCAGAGACAAACCGGGTCTCATCCTTGTCACTGCACGCAGGATGTTCTCTGTACTGCATTCATCCCGCCCGCCTGCGCCGCTGGCACACCTCGGGAACAGCAACATTTCTTGCCACACTCGCTCAGATCAAAATCCCCAAGTCGTCCCAGTGTCACTGAAACCAGACCCTCTGGCAGCCCTCGTCTGCAGCAGCAGGCTGCCAGGGAAGGGCAGCTCATCAGCACTCACAGTCCAAGCCAGGCTGACCGCAAAGCAACTGCACCACAGAGATTTTGTGCTCAGGAAGAGCTCAGACTGGTCTCGCAAGGATGCAGACTAGCTTCCAGGAAAACACGTTTTATGGATGAACTCGAATTAACAGAGGGAAGAGAGCTCCCACATGCAGAACTGCAGGCCACAGAATTAAAGGGTGACTGGCTTCTATTTCCCGTGTCCTCTCTTTTCAAATCCCATTGCTGCAGTCAAGGAAAAAACCAAAACAAAACAAAACGAAAAAACCAATGGGCAGAGTGTCTGTTCACTCAAGAAAGATTCCCTCGGGACAGCCCTCAGCACCTCCAGCCTCCTTCAGAAACCAGTCTGCTTCCCCAGGACGTGGTGCCACACGGCGGATGTGCTGGTGGGAGCAGGAGCCCCAGCCCCACGGCCAGTCCCGACACCGCTGCCGCCAGCAGAGGACACATGAAGCAAGCACCACAGGAGCATCCGTTAGAGCTCTGCTCCCACAAGACAAAGCCATCGCCTTCAACAGAAAGTTCACTCTCATCGAAGGCGAAAGCTGCAGTTACCAGACCAGGGTGCCACACACAGAGGAACAATTCTCTTGTGCCAAGCGCTTCCTGGTGGGAATGTTCACAGAGAGCTGGAGCAGATGTTAGCACACATTTACCATCCTCTAATCCCAAAGAGCGCAAGGATGGTGAGAGAGGAGACACACAGAAAGACTAAGACACAGGGAGTCACAGTCTCTCTCTTCCTGGGGATTCAGCCCACAGAGGAGGGAAGGAACAGGACGCAGGAGTTACACGCTGTGCTACAAACACCAGGTTCGTGCACTTCCCTGGGAACTGCCCAGGTACCTACTGCTCACACTACACTAGTACGTTTCAGGGTTGTTTTTCATCTTTTTCCTGGGATTAGCTCCCTGAATGTTACTGGCACACTTGCAGAAGGCTCCAGCTCATAATTGGAATAACCCAAACCTACAGGGAGATGCGGAGACCTGATTTGCACAGCACGCTCCTGCGCCAACAACAGCCACCAGGAAC